GCATGCACTATCAAGTTATGGAGCACGTGGGAAGTTTGGAGAGCGCAAAAGAAGCATAAGAGTTGCCCGAGGCGATAGTCGAGGGCAACTCTAGCTTCTTGAGTGCTCTCCAAACTTCCCACGTGCTCCACAACTTGATAGTGCACGGCTGAAAGCATGAACCAATTGTTTTAGAACATAGCCGGTGGAATTGTGCATCAAATCTGACGCAAAAAACAGACAACAATATCAGTTGAAATGAATTGTGACGGCGCTGATGCTGAGTCTCCTTTTCCGTTGTTTTTCTCTTTTTCTGCCTCATTTAAGAACTCTAGCACAAGAGAAAAGGTCGAAACATTGTCTTCATTTTTGGACTAGTAGGCAGAGTTTCTGTTTGTATCCATTATTGTTGTGAAACATATTATTTTTCCCCAAGCTAACAATGGCCGCTCACGCGAAAAAAAAAAAATTTCTGGCGAAGCGATTTGCTTATGCTATATGAGCGTGCACTATTGGGATTTTGAGCGCGCTTACGTATATTGAATTTGATTGCGCGGTTCTGCTAGCCATGTTCTAAAGAACATTTAGCCTTCAATCTATGGAATTTGTTCTTTCCTGACCTTGGCATATGATTCTGAAACCATATGAAGGAGCTTAAGTAACAAGATGAATCTTGGCAAACTTTGAATTTGCCAAACACAAACTGGAGTATTTTTCAATGAAATAACTAAAACTCCATAAAAAGTAGCCATAGCTAGTACCCTCTTTTAAACACCACAAAATATTACTGGTTCCTCAAGGATACTATTCCATCACGAAACTTTACTGAAAAGTTTTTTTTTGCACATATCTCACCTAGTTTTTGACATTGTCATAAGGCATGAAGCACAAAACTTGGCTGGGACAAACCCTATATCAAATAAGCCTAAATGTCTTGCTCATCTCACACTTATAATGTCATTAAACTTAGAGTAGCAGTAAACACTGTGTGATATGTATAAAACAAACCTGGGGGGTTTGTGAGTATGAAAAATAATCTGTGCCCGTGGAGGGGCCCATTCTGAGTTTCCCCGAATGCGGCTCTGAAATAAAAAGATGCATTATTTTGTAAAAATCAATTTACATTCATTTGATATTATCATTAAAAGATTGGGACGCATTCTGTAGATAGAATTAGATTCTGTAAATAGAAATAGATCTTAATAACAAAGAAGTGTTACACGTCACTCTGTAATATTTGAATAAAATAGGTAGGCATTGCATTCGTGTGGGTATTGCTTTTAATTATGCTGGGTACATGTTGGTCATGTCATGTTTATTCATTATTATTCCATTTCAAGGGTCATCCCTCCATCTTTTCTCAGCCTCCATGACTTTAATCAACCCTTTGTCTTACAATGACAACTTAGTTATGGATTATTTAGTACTCACTGGCAATGAGTTTTGTCTGGACATTAGTTTATTCTCCACTGCCTCAACATGGAGCACATCATCTGGTGCCACAGCCACAGTATCTGGTAAAGGAAGCAAGGACTGAGGAGCATCTTGAAATGATACTAACCATTGCAGCTCCCATGCCGCTGGGTGTTTTTGGTTTGCAAACTTCTGCAGCAAGCTTTTGGCTACTGCCTCAGCAGACAACAGGGTATACTGTGGCCTGGACTTTGAATTATGTATAGAGTCTGATATAGTGTCTGTGACAGAGCTAGGATAAGAGAGTGTGGCACTGGATGTACAAAATTCATTATTATCCTGTAATTGTTCATCTGTTGGACTTAGTTCTTCCCACTCAGTACTGAGCTCATCTTCACTGTCAAGTACAGACCCTAAACGAGACAAAAAAGAATAATTGGTAGTCAAAGTAACAATCGGGTAATTGTGACACGTTTTCATAAAGTCACTAAAATCTTTTTATGGAACAATTTTTCAAAATGGGTACTATTCATGAGCATACCTCTAACACACAACCTTTTACAAAAGGAAAGTGCTTCAAAGGTTTGAACTCAGATGGCTTAAAATTTTCACTTCAAATATATTTTTGCTGCCTAAAAGCCAAACATATTCATTCAAAAGAATTCCATCCAACCCAGAAAAGTTTCTTAATTCATCTGAAAAAATCTCTCAATAGGAAAACCAAACACCAAAAAGTACAAAGAAATGGAACCCCTTTCTCTCCTTGCTTGATCAAATCTTCTTTATATCATTTGAACACTAATAGATCATGGTACTGCTCTGATAAGAAGCAATCGTTCAATATCACATTAGCTTTCTAATTTGTTGGATGTTATCTTCCCCTCACAAACAAAATCAGTCGCCTACTCACTGGTTATTTTTTTCCTATTGTTAATTATTAATAATTATAAGTTCTGAAAAACATTAGCTGAAACACTGTTCAAGTTCACTTTGCCAATGTTTCACTTTAAAATTCTGGAGATCCAACCTTATTCTTGAGATCCTCTTACAGAAGTCAAGTTCTGCTAACTTTTTCATTCTTGATAAATAAAAGAAAAAGCCATTGCAAATTGAAAATATGCATGTAAATGTGCTGCCATGTGACAAACAAGATTCAACTGATACTGCAGTACTTAAGATGCGTATGTGACCATTAGTCTGGTTATTACTACAGCATTGCTCCTTCATTGGCTTTAATTCAATTGTTTTTATTCAACAACATTTTATCAAATTTGTGGGATTCACTGAATCATGTCCCAATAAGAAAAAGAGTATTAACTCGTAATTACATTCAATCTTTGGGTATTTCTGGATTTTTATCTCTCTTAAGATGACTCACTTGAGGAGTTTGTCTGCAGGCTGGGTTCAGAGGCTGTAGATTGGGTGGTTTCATCACTAAAAGCAGCCTGTTCTTGCAAATGTTTTCTTCGCCTTTTCTCCCACCTCTTCCTCTCAAGTTCTTTCTTCAAGTAAAGAATTTCTTCATCCTCCTCCTCTTCCTCCTCTGATGTATTGACAGTATCGCACTTCATCTGTATCAAATTCAGTTGAAGGACTGAGTAGTCATTCAATAAAATTTTTATTTTGCAATATACAAGAGATACCACATAACATCAATTCAATAACTGAAGTCTAGAAAATTCTACAACACCCTGATTAAGAAAGCATAATCAAGCCAATGTTGTCCCAATACCAAAGGTAAAACCTGCTGAGGATATCATTAAACATCTTCGCCCTATCTCCCTGACTCCGGCGCTGTCTAAAATTGCAGAAGATTTCGTGGTTGGTCTTCATATTGGCCCTGCTGTGATGGAGGTTATTGACCCCGACCGATACGGAGGAATTCCTAAATCGTTCACCCTTCATGCCCTAATATATATCCATGGTGCACAACTGGTCTAATGCCACTGACGGTAGTGGAGCTGCCGTGCGAGTTGTCCTATTTGATTATAGGAAGGTGTTCGGCTTTATTGACCATACCCTACTCATCCATAAGGTCTTCAGTCAATCTATTCCTAGGAGTGTCGCCTAGTGGGTTGCTGACCTTCTTACAGATGGCCAGCAACGTGTCAAGCTGTCCAGGAAATGTTTCTTGGAATGGGCCCTATCCCAGCTAGACCATGCCCAAAATAGGATTCTTTTTTTCTTGTTTTTCGCTTAGTAAGG